GTGCACGCTTAATTTACATGCATGAATTTGATGCTAGAATATAAGTGAATTTCACCTAATCGTTATGAACTTATATTCACAAGTAGTAAAGGTTGCTAGTCACAATCACGTTAAGTAAATTCTTGGCATAAGTTTCATGCAAATCATAGTAACGAGTGCCTCGTCAATGCTTATGTTTTTCATAGAACTTAATGATTCTTGCTTGTATCTCTATTATGCAATTCATGTAGGGAACTTGTAGGGAATGTTTTGGGTTGTCGTATGCAATCATCCAACCCAATAACTTGTGGAAAAACTGAGGGTTAATTAGTGCAATTCACGGTTAATTTGGGGCGTTGAGATTTACAATTTATTGAAAGAACAACTGAAAATCAATTTAGGTTGCATATGTGTCATGTGTGGAGAAGAACCCTCTAGCTAGTCCGTCATTTATCATTTTACCTTAATTTTATGTTTTTATCAATTCTGTAATTTAATTAAGTTTAATTTACTTTTCATCAAAACCAAACACCCATCCATTATTAAATTATATTATTTAGTTAGTTTTCTTTATTGTTAGTCTTTTAATTTAATTTCCGTCCATTTCAGTTCCTAGTGTTTAATTTAATTGTTTCCATTATTTTGAGTCATTTTAAGTGTGTTTCGAGTTATTAGAGTTTTTAGCCTAATTTTGTGTCCTTGAGTCTTATTTTATATTATTTTTAAATTAATTTAGAATAGATTAGCAATCCCTCCTAATCCCCGGCCTAGAACGATACCCTACTTACATCTATACTACAATTGTCAAAAAGAGGGTTTAATTTGTGTGCTTATATATTTCGCATCAAATTTTGGCGCCGTTGCCGGGGATTAGCAACTTTGCTAATCCTTTTATTTTTGTTTTTGTTTATGTTTATATTGGTGTTTGTGTATTTTACTTTTGATATTTGATTTATTTTTCTTTCTTTGATTTTAGGTTCAAATGGAGCCGAGGGGAATTTAAAGGAAAGATGCGTCCGGCTAAAGACGTTAAATCAAGCGCTTCTTGGGAGGCAACCCAAGCATTCAACGAAGGGAGACTTTGGAATCATTAACCCAATCAGCTTTGCATTCTTCCACCCTTATCTTTACTGCTTTCATTTTGTTTTGTTTAGTTAGTTGTGTTATTTGGTTGATTTCTGTGAGTTTGTATTATTTAGTTTAAGTGTGGGGGAAGGTTAACCAAAGTCTCTTTACATTAATTTACATATAAAATAAAAAATAAAAAAATAAAAAATAAAAAAGAGATAAAATTTAAAATTAATGATAAAAAAAAAAAGTACATAAAAAATAAAAAAAAAATAAATAAATAAATAAAAAATAAAATTAAATTAAAAAAAAAATTTAAAAAAAAATTAAAAATTAAAAATTAAAAAAAAAATAAAAAAAATAAAAAAAGTACAAATATTTTACAATGATGTAAACTAATAGTATTCATTGGTCGGGTGGTGCTTCAGTAGTAGGCGGGGCTTCAGCAGTCGGCAGGGCCACAGAAGGAGGAGGCAGCAGAGGTTGATCAGTTGGAGCTTCACTACGCGGTGCTGCCCCAGAAGACGAAGGCAGATGCGGTTGGAACAAACCCACAAACCTCCGATGATCAAGTAAAATTTGACCATCGGTGTCCTGCATCTGGTCAATCTTTCTCTTCATGCTGGTGGCATAATTGTGTGCAAGCTTGTGCAATTGTTTATTTTCATGCTTGAGTCCTCTAATCTCCTCTTTGAGACTCTGGATTTCAGCCACCAACGATTCAACGTGACGGGTTCGAGCATATAGGCGTTGGGCCATGTTGGACACAGAACCCGCACACTGCACGCTAAGAGCCAAAGACTCCTTAACCGCCAATTCATCAGACCGCCTAGCGAGCAGTCTGTTATCTCTGGGGGTGACAAGGTTCCGGGCCACCACCGCTGCAGTCATGTCATTTTTCATCACCGAATCCCCCACGGTAAGAGGACCGGTAGGGGATATGAAGGATGGGCGCCATATATTGTCTGGTGAAGGCGGAGCTGCCTCTTCACCAATGTTCAAGTCAAAACGACGATCGGAAGGGCCAGACATTTTTCAGAGGTGGTGAAGAAAGAAGAGAGTCGGAATGATCAAGATTAAACAAGAGTCAGAGGGAGTGTTTACTGGAGGGATAAGTGTGTTGTGGAGCAAGATTAACGCCTCTATAAAAAGGAAGAAATCAAAGAAGCGCTCCTCAGAAATTGAAGAGGCGTCCTCTCGCAATTCGAAGAGTCGGGGCTCCTTTCTCAAAAGCCGGATTCTTTTCTGAAAAGAGGAGTCTCCTTTCTCAAAAGCCGGATTCTTTTCTCAAAAGAGGCGTTTCATTTCTTAAAAATTGGGCTTGCTCAGAAACCACGAGCCGAATCCCGGATTTCGAAGGATCACTTTGTCCAGACGTGTCGTCACTCGTCACATGCAACCGGTAACTTTGCGGAAATTACGGGCAGCTTTGTCAGAAAGCGCGTAATTTGTACTATTCATCCATCCACCGGCTGCCGACAATGAGTGAGAGAACAGTTCCGGTTGTGAAGAAAAGCCCTATAAGTATCTACCTTCGCCTTCCACAGCAAAGACACACCCTCTCCGCACTTCTTCATCTCCGAAAATGCATTCCCAAAGAATCCTCCTAAGTTACTCTGTGTTCCTCATTCCTTGGGATACTCCTGAAAACAACCCATTCAAAGCAAAAGTATTTCATATCATGAAGGTTGAAAGCAAGAGTATCTCATATCATGCTTTCTCCCTGTCCTTTCTCCAGCCAGCACTTGCTCTTGAGTACTCATCATCTTGTGTTTCCTCTTCGTCTCTTACGTATAAGGGAAGTGAAGATGATACCTCGAAGCATGTGGAGACAACGTGCTGATTCATCCTCAGCTAGGGACAAGGAGAAAGAGAGCAAGAGGTGGGCACTTGGAAAGATTGAAGAAAGAAACAGACCAATACCTCTACCTCTACCTCAGAATTTCGAAGTTAAACGAGTTCTTGCGAGGTCATTCCCATGATGGGTGACCTACTAGGAAGTTCTCGTGTGAGTTCCCAAAAACAAAAACAGTGAGGGTGTGGTCGGGGTCCAAAGCGGACAATATCATGCTCCGGTAGAGTCGAGCCCGAGATGTGGTGGGGGCCCGGGCCGGGATGTGACAATATGGGGAAGAATTAGCTTCAGTCTATTTGTTAATACCTTTGCCGTAATTTTATAAAGAACATTACACAGGCTTACAGGGCGTAATTGTGTCAACTTCCTTAGGATTTGCCCTGATAAAACCATAGCACGGATTCCATTACACACATCAGGACCTACAATCCCCCAGTGTTTTTAATAAAACCCAGGAGACATACCATCGGGTTCAGGTGCTTTGGTGGGATGCATATGGAAGACTGCACATTCCTCATCCGTGATAGGCCTCCCAAGGTCGTTGTTCATCTCCTCTGTTACAGAAAGTGTGATATTACATAAATTATCTTTGAAATTAGCAGCACCATTGGATGTAAATAAGGTGGAAAAATAGGATACCACCACATCTTCCATTTCTTTTACGGTCTTCATGCCATACCCAACCATCATCCACAAGACTATGCAGCCAATTCCTCCTTTGTCTTCTATTAGCATTTTGATGGAAATATTTGGTGTTACAATCGCCAAGTTTGACCCAATTTTCTTTTGCTCTGTCTCCAAATAGCTTCTCTTGCTCAAGCAAATTATTTAGGGCTGATTTGGTATTGTTGTGCTTTGAAAAGAAGCTGCTGTGAGAATAAGCAGCTGTGAAATAAATCAGCAGAGTGTTTGATAAACTTTTTTGTAAAAGTGTTTTTGAAAAAAAAGCAGTCTGATAGTGTGTTTTTTCATTAAAGGAGCACTGTAGCTCAGTGTGCTTTGAAAAAAAACCAGTTTTCCAAAGCTGCAAATAGCTACTTCAGCTTTTCCTTTGATTTCAGCTTATTCTCACAGCAGCTTCCAAAATAAGCCCTTTTTTTTTAGTTTACCAAACACCTAAAACCCTCACAGTTTTTTTTCATGGGTGCTTTTTTTTTAAGCACCTCACTCCCAAACCATCCTTTAGTCTTTCAATTAGCTCCTTCTTTGTATCAATCGACTCTTCAATAAAAGGTTGATCCAAAATACTTGTAAGTTTATCTTCGACTTCCCTAATTGCCCACGGCCCAGTCCTGGCAAGTAATTCGCTGTATTAAAACAACTATAAATAATAGTTTAGTAAAGACTTATGATAAAAACCAAATTAGGCTAAGCTACATAATTGAATGAATAATAATATGGATCAAACTCGCCATCTATGAATCGAATATCTTTTTAAACACATACAGCATCTTTCTACACTCAACTTACTTTTCACACCCATATTACTTTTAATTAAGACACCAATATCTCTTTAAATTCAAATTTATTACCTAAACTATCCTCACAACCCCAATTCAATTTATAAATTTAGCTATACACCCATTTATTTATAATGCAATCGCCAGAATCCCTGCCTTCAATTTTGCAGAATCTATTAACGTAGCACTGCCTCATGCCCAATATTTACATTTACAGGCAAGACAACCCCAAATTATTTCAGAAATCAAACCCACAACAAAACTTCAAAAGGTCCACATTGAAAATTTTGAATTCTTACAATTTAATGTCATTTTGAGAGGTGGAAGATCTACTGTTCTATGGGTTTAAAATTTCTTCGAATTTTTAGCTCTTTAAAAATAGAGATTTCTGCTTTTTTTTAATTTTCCTTTTTTTTTTTAAAATTTTTTCCATCAATTGCTTCAATGAATTTTTATTTGATCTTTTTCCTAAAGTTTCGCATATTGTGAAAGACGGCAAGGAAGCTTCGCATATTGTGAAAACCGTCCACATTATTATAATTTCCTTGATTTCAGGTCAGCGGGGAAGGCTAGGAAACTGCTTTGGATATTGTGAAGTCGAGAAAAGAGGCCTTATCATAAGTTCATAACACATGTCATCCTTTTTAGTAATCGAACGATCATGGATTCAACGACCAGTGAAGGAGCCTCTTCCTTTTCCTCTTCGTCTACTTCTTTCACCCGTTCATCCTCTTCGTCTACTTCTTTCACCCATCCATGGAGATATGATGTCTTCCTCAGTTTTAGAGGCGAGGATACCCGCTACAATTTTGTAGGTCATCTGTACAACAATTTGAGTCAGATGGGAATCAAAACCTTCATGGACGAGGAGGCGCTTAAAAGAGGAGAGGAAATATCGTTGGCGCTTCTCAAAGCAATTGAGGATTCGAGGATTTCTGTTGTTGTCTTCTCCGAAAACTATGCTTCCTCACGGTGGTGCTTAGATGAACTCGTTCACATCTTTCACTGTAAAGAACAACAGCAGCAGATGGTTTTTCCAGTCTTTTTCAAGGTGGATCCATCGGATGTGAGAAACCAAAGAGAGAGTTTCGGTAAGGCACTTGCTGACCATGAAAGCAAACTCAAAGATAACATGGACAAGGTGTTGAGATGGAGAGAAACTCTTACAAAAGCAGCAAATTTGTCTGGCTGGTCATTCCTGGCCGACGGGTATTTTTCTGATCTCTATGTACTTGCAAACCTATCATTCAAATTCATAAGCATAATATCAAGGCTTTTTAGCCAAAATAGTTTTTCTGAGAGCATAATTCTTTGTTTTGTTCTTAAGATTTAAAATCGATATAAGTGGTTTTTGATATTATCCATCATCAATCATTTTGGTTATTTTCTTGAAAAAATACTCTATTAAATTGAGTGTATTTTTGTCAAATCAATCACTCCACTTGAATTTGTGGTTTCTTCAGTTTAGCTAAGATTTCTTACAGAATGATCAAAATGATTGATGTTGGACACTCTCATGAACCACTTTTATCGATTTAAATTTCAGTGATCAAAATGAAGAGTTATAACAATTTTAGCAACTATTTTAGTTAAAAAGACTAACATAAATATATAATATTTGAGAAATGTTAAGGAGACTCTCTTAAAGTAGAACTTTTCATGAGCTCTCTCACACCTCATAGTTTAGTGTTAGTTCCCTTGCCAACATTATAAAATATTGTAGCAAAAATCAGGTGGCAACAAGTTCATGGAGAGTCTCACTTTTGAAAAATTATCCTTAGCATTTTTCATAATATTTTGATATTATTCCCTCACAATATTATAGGAACACTTGTTTAAGTTATTCATTATTAGTATATGAAGCAAACACATATTAGAGAATATGATCCCACATCGGTAATATGATAAAATAATATACAATAAATATATAAGAGTTTGCACTCTTAATACTAGCGAGAATTTTTGTGGTAAAATCTAATACAGAGTGATAGGAGAAATTGAGACAATATCGGTAATGCTGATGATAAATCATGTTCGGCCTATAAAATTTATCAACACATAGCCAAACGTCATTCATCTATACTTAATATATAATGCCAACAGCCAATTTGAGGTCATGGGCTTCACAAAAAAGAATGGGAAACAAATGACCCCCCCCCCCAAAAAAAGTTCAAAAGCAGCCGAATGCATAAAATAGTGCAGGAGTAATTTTGTCATAAAAAAATTATTTATTTTCTTTATGACGTAGAATATCCAAATGTTTCTCCTAAGATGATCTAATATTATTAATTTAGTCCAATTGTTTAACTTTCTTTTCCTTGAGTAGAGTTGTCACCTGAAATATTGATTACATGGAACATCCACGGATTTCTTCTAGTTTAATTATAATAATATTCTTTTTTATGCTTTTAAACTTGTAGGCATGAATATAAATTTATTCAAAAAATTGTTGAAGAGATTTATGACCAAGTTTTCGAGAGTACCCATCTGAAAGTGGTAAAGTACCCAGTTGGAATAGAGTCACGTGTCAAACAATCCAGTTCGGTTTTTTTGGATCCTCCTGTCCTCGATCGCAAGCAATTAGCCCTCCAACGCCGTGAAGGACAAACCGAAGATCAAAAGTGCCACCAGCACCATTTACTCTCCAGTCTCGCCCTCCCAAACCGTTCCTCCGACGCCGCACCGCCCGCAACCACCGCCAATCCTGATCAAGACCGAGATCGAGATCGAGATCGCAGTCCTTCAAAGGTGCTGCTTCCGCCCTCGCTTTCTTAGCTGGAAGATGTGTAGGATTCGCTTTCTTATGTATGCTGTGTTACTGATTGGTTTGGCGATGCAGGCACAAGATTGCAGGCAGCTGGAAACTCAGATAAGGGGGAAGGTGTTGTTGCAGAACGGGACGAATCTGATAGTTTTGGGATTCATCGTTTTGTTTATCATCATCGTACTATTTATACTAGTGGTGAGAAGTAGATACGCGCCCGCCTAGGCTATGGAGGTCGCCCAAAAAAGAATAATACTTGATTTCATGAATAAGAATTCATACTTAAAATTTATAATTAGAATAATTTAAATTATAAATCACTTTACAAGCTTCTACACATCTTTGAGTAATCAAGTATTGTTCGAAAAAAAAAGAATAACTTTTATTTTTCATTTCATTTTTTTAATGAAATGGAAGGGATTTTTGAATACTTCAATGAACATTTATTATATGGTTGTTCACTATATTTTCAATATGTCTAATATTTTATAATTTATATCATTTTAATTTGTAATGTATGTCAATAGAATTATGTATTTTGAAGTAGAACCCGTTATGTATTATTGGCTTGGTAATTTGAATCAAATCCACACCATCTCAAAAAAATTCCAATCCATCTCGGTACATTCGGGTCAAAAGTTGGAGTTCAAAACACAGCAAAGACTATATTTTGGTCATGCGGGTGTCAACTTTTTTTGGCCCAGCTTGTCATTGGAAATGAATTTGGTGTCAAAAGCTAGTTATGTTTTGATTTATAACCTTTTGATCTACTCGGTGGGAGATGGTCTTAGCTTTGGTTATTTTAGGCTCACATCATTGTGGCTTTTAAGTGAAAATGATTCAATTTTTGCAATGACCCTTTACCCTATACAAAAGTTCACAAAAATTACATTGGCAAGAAAATTATAACCCTTCCTCTCCTCTGTGGGAGACCTCCGATATGAGCGCTTTTCTCTCCTTGGTGAGAGTCTCAGTTTGTAATTGCAATTGAGGATTCGTTTCTCTTGAGATTTGTCGGTTGTCCTACGGGTTCGGTTTCTGCTGGTTTGTGGGTCTGGTGCTCTGGTTTGGTATTCGTTTGTTTTCTTTTGGTCTGGCTGAGCTGGTGGATCTTCGTAGGTCGTGTCTATTTTAGCTTTTTGGGCAGTTCAGAACGTAGGTGTGGGTTTTGATTTGGCACAGAGGAATTGCAGGGGTGACTCCGGTTTATTCTCTTCGGGGTTGGTGGGGAATTAATTTCTCTTACCAAACCTGTGACTTTTGGTGGGTTTGTGTGAAATTTTGCTTCGTTCTTGTTCAACTTTCAGATGGGGAGTAATTGCCAACAAACTAACCCTATAATTAATGAACTCATGGTGATCCGAACAACTATTGATTCAGAGCACAAAAGTCTCAGGGACTCGCACTCACCGTCATCAAAGTACTTTTCTTACTTCCCTACCTTATGTCTCATTTGGTAGCTCGAACCTAATTGATTATTTATGTCGGATAAGATAAATAATCACTGAATAGTACTGATTAACTTAGTCGGATGTTTTGTGCAATATGAGATCAAAGATCGTATTATTTATACTGTGTTTGGTACTGAATCGGATAAGAAAATGGAAGATTTTTTTTTTTTTGACAAGTCTTTATTTGTTTGTTGAACTTTTCTCATATTTATAATTATTGAAAACCACACAAATTTTCAAATAATGAAGAAAAATAATAAATTTCATACATCAAATTCAAAATATTTTTCAATAACATAAAAGAAGGTTCACAAAACACAACTACAGTGGTTACATTTCAAATTAATAGCTGTTTCAAACTGAGTCATTGTTTCGGGTTTGAAACAACCATTATCACATCCCAAATTCTTAACAACCGCCTCCTTAAGTATGGACAACAATGCATCTTCTTCGTATTGTTTTCAAACTCTTCTACTTCCTTTTGATTGACCATTTTGTTCACTTCCCATTCCTATAATTACATACACAATAAGATGGCATATAATCAATTGAGGCTAACGGGACCTCAACCAAGGTTAATATTAGTAATTTATGCAAGCCCCTGTTATCCCAAAACACAGTCTAGTCTCCCTCTCTGATATTTCACATTGCCTTTGCAGACGATTTTTGCAGGTCTTCTACAGAAGATTTGAAGATGTAGCACACTGTCTTCACAGAAAACATATTATTTCACTAATAACTTTCCCACTTCTATAGTATGCCCCAACTCCTAAACACCTCTGTTTTTACCGGAAATAAGCTCCTCTTATATGAGAGATCCAATTGACCCTAAGCTAGCCAGAAGTAAAGTTCATCCACAGGCGTTTTACAATAAAAGGTTTTGCGTAACAAAAAAAAAATAAGATAACACCCTCTACCATCACCAATGCCAATAAAGAATAACTCATTCCCATTACAATGAGCATACATCCTTAGGAATACTATTATGATTATAAAGTTATAAAAACAAGAGCATTTTTAAGAAATTTTGATCCTCCTGCTTGGTTATCAGAAATCTGGAAGCTAACACATACAAAAAGGTTCCATATAAACACCAAGTTAGCTCTAACCAAACAGCTACTTCATGTAGTAGGACAAAGAAACTTGGCGGCAGATTCTTTTCAAAATTATTCCTTTTAGTGGATGCCTAGATACAAAGCATTGAACTTGCACTAATCAAGGTACAAGTTAGTAAGGATTTATTAGAGGCAATCTTATCAACACTGTCTTGATAGTGCTTTGAGCAGAACCCACCAAAGATAAGAAACATATGACTGAAAAATAAAGTGCATAGCACCAATAGATAGAGGAATACAGCAGGGCCGTATGCAGCACCCTGAGAGAACCAAAGAAAGCACCCAGAATAGCTAAAAACGGTAAAGCTAAACATACAATCAAATCTAAAATTCGACCCCAATAGCAAACCCTATAATTCGATAGTGTATTTCTAAACATAGTTTTGTGTACTCTTGCATATAATAGTTAATTAATGACTTACGATAAAAACCAAATTGCACTAAGCCACACAATTGAGTGCATAATAATGTGGTATCAAACTCGTCATCTACGGAAATCAAACTTGAGACTTCTCACTTCATTATAAGTCAAAAAGAATATCACTAGGTCCTAATACTACGTATTAGGACTACGTCAAAGTTTGTCGTTTTGAAAAACTAGCCAAATAAAAAATGAACTAGCCACCTATTTATAATTTCTTTGACTTCAGATCAACATGGAAGATGACAAGGAAACTGCTTCCCCTATGTCAAATCAAGAAAAGAGGCCTTAATATAACACGAGATAAATGATCAGTCTTTGACATGGATTCAACGACCAATGAAGGAGCCTCTTCCTCTTCTTCTTTCACCCATTCATGGACATATGATGTCTTCCTCAATTTTAGAGGCGAGGATACCCGCAACAATTTTGTAGGAAATATCGTCCTACAAAATTGAGGAGTCGAGGATTTCTGTTGTCTTCTCTGAAAACTACGCTTCCTCAAAGTGGTGCTTAGATGAACTCGTTCAAATCTTTCACTGTAAAGAACGACTGCGGCAGATGGTTTTTCCAGTTTTTTACAAGGTGGATCCATCGGATGTGAGGAACCAAAGAGAGTTTCGGTAAGGCACTTGCTGACCATGAACGCAAGTTCAAAGATAACATGGACAAGGTGTTGAGATGGAGAGAAACTCTTACAAAAGCAGCAAATTTGTCTGGGTGGTCATTCCTGGTGGACGGGTATTTTTCTGACCTCCATATGCTTGCAAACCTACCATTCAAAGTAAAATAAGCTTAATATTTGCTTCAATTCACAAGCATAACAGGGTTTTTAGCCAAAATGATTTCTTCTGAGATTGACATAACTCTTTACTTGTTCCTTGATATTTAAAATCAATAGAAGTAGTCCCTAATATTCTCTACTGTCAATCATTTTTTTGGTTCTTTTGTGAAAAGTCTCTGTTGAATTGAGGGTATTTTTATCAAATCAATCCCTCCACTTGAACTGGTTTCTTCAATTTAACGGAGATTTGTCAAGTAAGAACCAAATGATTGACGGTGGACAATCTCAATGATCACTTTTATCGATTTTAATTTTTAGCAACCAAAGTGAAGAGTTGTGACGATTTAAGAGATTTTGGTTAAAAAGCTTAACATGAATATATAATAAGATAAAAGTGTGTAGGGTTTGAAGTGTGTGTTTATTCTTCTCTCTAGGTAGGAGGTAAATATATAGTTGTACAATATCTCATATAACAAGAAATAAGAATCCCAATTATACAAGGAATAAATTATAGGATTACATTCCTAAACTAAATGGTTGACTCACGCCAACACTCCCCCTCAAGTTGGTGCATAGTATCTCATAAACCCAACTTGTCAAGTGAGTCTTGAAATACCTTTGCTGAAACCGCATGAGTTAACACATCTGCTAATTGTTCTTCAAACCTCACGTATGGAATATCAATCAATTTGACATCTAACTTTTCTTTGATGAAGTGTCTATCTACCTCCACATGCTTTGTACGATCATGCTGAATGGGATTATTGGTTATTTCTCTCGCAGATTGATTGTCGCAGTATAATAACATAGCTCCCTGAGGCTTGAACCCAATCTCAGTGAGAAGAATCCTGAGTCATAACAATTCACAAATTCCATGTGCCATCCCTCTGTACTCTGCCTCGGCCGTGGATCTAGCCACTACATTTTGCTTATTGCTTTTCCAAGTTACCAAATTTCCTGCTACGAATGTGAAGTAGCCTGATGTGGAGCGACGATCAGTAATGTTTCCTGCCCAATCAGCATCAGTATACCCATTTACCTTCATATGTCCATGCTTCCTGAAGATTAGTCCTTTACCCGGTGCACCTTTTAGATAACTCAGTATACGCATCACTGCTACCATGTGATCCTCACTAGGAGCATGCATGAACTGATTTACAACACTAACTGCATACACAATATTCGGATGTGTAAGTGATAGGTAAATCAACCGTCCTACCAATCTCTGATATCTTTCTTAATTGGTAGGAACTTGATCCTGGTATATCGCCAAGTGATGATTCTGCACAATGGGAGTTTCAACTGGTTTACAAGCCAACATTCCAGTTTCAGATAGAAGATCAAGAACATAATTCCGATGAGACAAATAAATACCATCACGAGAACGAGCAACCTTAATGCCCAACAAGTATTTCAAACCTCCTAGATCCTTTACCTCAAATTCTGATGAAAGATACCCCTGCAGCCTTTTTATCTCTTATATGTCATCACCAGTAACTACCATATCATCCACATAGATAATTAACAAAGTAACTTAACCTCCCATGCGTTTGATGAATAGGGTGTGGTCCGCAT